AGCATCACACCCTGTCTTTTGCTCTGAAGATGACTGCCAGACTGGTGAAGAGGGGAGAATAAATGGTCTGACAAATCACAGTAATTTTCTACAATGTCCTTTACAAACACCAAAAACATTAGATCCCCCCCACCCCCCACCCCCGCACTGCTTGCAGCATTAAAGATAACCGACCTTCTTTCCTCAGGTAAAAACAGCTAGGAGAAAATTTCATTAGTAAGAGAGTCCAAGAAATGAGGAAAGGAGAGTGAACTGCAAAGAGAAAAATCCAAATACAGTGCCAAGTAAAAACAAACTCGGGGACCAAAAAAAAAAAAAACAAAGGCGGGGGACTTGGCTTCCTGGAGCAAGTTGGTTTTCATACAGAATGTCTCCTGGAGAAAAAAGAAAATGCACAAATTAGTTCTGAGATTCTCTCTACAACACATCTGTGGAGTTTCAGAAAGGTTTGATGAAGTCCCTCCAGACCAGAACCTTTCCTTTGGGAACTTATAATAATATAAAAATAAAACTTCTATAAAACATACAAATAAAATTCTATTCAAACATAAAAATAAAATTCCTGGCGCTGCATTTGTCCCCCTTTCAGGTCTGCTCAGCTGGGCAGCTTCCCTGGGCTACTTACTTAGCTCACAGGGTGGAGCAGCCTCCATCTTAAGCTCCTTCTTCCTCATGGTGCAGAACTAGTTTGACTTTCCCAAGGCCAGCTCCTGCCTCTATATATGAAGGAAGACAAGTGCGCCTCCCTCTGTTAGATAAGGGCACTTTTGGGTGCTCTGAGCCACGCAGCTTTCTAGACTGGCAAGGAATTTCAAGAGGCAAACCACGCCCTCCAAAGCATAATCAAATTTCATCTTTGACCTGTCCTGAAAAGAGAAGCATTAGGTATCTGCCACTCCTAGATATTAATTAATAATTTATTGAGTTCAAAACTTTTATTCTAAGATTTTATCTCAAGAAGCATTATGTATCTGCCACTCCTAGATATTAATTAACAATTTATTGAGTTCAAAAACTTTTATTCTAAGATTTCATCTCTGTCCCGTTTGGCAAGAGCAAGAGCAGGTAGCAAGCCTGTGAGTGGCAGTGGATTAAAGGGGTGGAGTAAGAGAAGTTGCTTCCCTTCTCTGCTCCTCTTGGAGTGAAGCTGGTTCAGGCTCCACAGGTGCATGTGCACTAGGACTCTGCTCCTGAGACGTGAGGTGAAACCATTAACCCCAAGCCTGACAGTCCACTTGTATTTTCCACGTAGGTACGTGCAGCACTGATGTAATTATGAGGAGTCTCAGTGTGGGTGGAAATGCTCCCTGCTCTGTTATCCCTCGGGATCTGAAGGACCCGCTGGGTTCAGCCTGGTCAATCAGTGATCCATGGGCTGACATCAGAGTCACACAAATTACAGACTTGGTGCCTGATGGAAAAGAGAAAAAAACCTGAGACTACAAGAGGGAGTCCAGGGCAAGCCTAGAATTTCTCAGTCTGGGAGGAGGGGAGCTGAAAGAATGGGGAAAATTTGCCTCAGGGAAATAACTTAGATGACAAAGCCAGAAAGAAGCAGCATTGGGGTGGGGTAAAAAAAAAAAAAAAATACAGTAGAGAAGAAAACAGTTGCAGCTTTCAGGTAGCAGGAAGTTTTCTAGTAGTTTTCAAGAAAATCTAGCTGGGCATGAGGCAGGAGAATTGCCTGAACCCGGGAGGCGGAGGTTGCGGTGAGCCGAGATCGCGCCATTGCACTCCAGCCTGGGTAACAAGAGTGAAACTCCGTCTCAAAAAAAAAAAAAAAGAAAGAAAATCTGCTTAGAACCATAAAAACATAATAGCTTAGAATGGAAAAGAAAGAAAAGCAGTAATCGATTCAAGTATGTCAAAGTAGGCTTCCAGCTAGTGGTTCTGGTTCCTACCTGCAACAACCATTGAATCAGGAGAAGGCAGTACGGATCTCTGGATCTTCTTCTCAGGGACCCAGACGAAAGGTCTCTGCTTCAGGGCTCTCTTAATCATGAAAGTCAAATCATTTCAACTTAATCTGTCTCTTGACCTTGTTCTACATCAGATAAGTTCCCCAAGGCATAGCTGCCTCTGCAGATTGGGCGGGAGGCCAAATTGTTCCACTTGAGGGGAAAATGGAAGCACTGGGAAAATAGAAGCACCTGTAAAATCCCCCAGGCACTAAAGTCTTGGAAGGAAAAGGCCTATGTGAGTTTAGGAATTCTTACCCTGGGCAACATAGGGAGACCCCATCTCTACATAAAATTTAACAATTCTCTCTGGGTGTAGTGGAACGTGCCTGTGGTCCCAGCTACGTGAGAGGCTGAAGTGGGAGGATTATTTGAACCCAGGAGGCTGCAGTGAGCTGTGATCACGCCAGAGCACTCCAGTCTCTGCGACAGAACAAGACCCTATCTCAAAAAAGTGGGAGTGTAGGGACAAAGAAATCTGTAACTGTTAATGAGTGTCAGGTTTAGACTATGTCCAAGGTCATGCTGAGGTCTGGAAGCAGTGGGTGGATGAGCAGAAAGAACACTTGGGGGGCCAGGCCGTAGGCAGGTGAAAGATGATTTTATTCAGCAGCAGCTCTCATCAACAGCTTTCTCACACTGTCTGCCCTGCCTCAACTGTCTAGTCCGGCTCCCACACACAGTTGTGCGGCCCCTGCCTTCAGGGTCAGCCACTTAACTCTTTCTCTCTGAGTACGAGCAAGCTGAGCTGTGTCCTGGCTCCCCGCTGTCCATCTGCAAGAAACACACTCCATTTTGCCTTCCTGGTCCCCAATTTACACTTAAGAGTAACTGACAACATTAATTGAATTCTTTTTCTTTTTTCTTTTTTTTTTTTTTGAGACAGTTTCGCTCTATTGCTCAGGTTGGAGTGCAGCGGTGTGATCTCAGCTCACTGCAACCTCTGCCTCCTGGGTTCAGGCGATTCTCCTGTCTCAGCCTCCTCAGTAGCTAGAATTAGCTGGAATTACAGGCAAATGCCACCATGCCCAGCTAATTTGCGTATTTTTAGTAGAAACGAGTTTCCCCACATTGGTCAGGCTGGTCTTGAACTTCTGACCTTGTGATCCACCTGCCTTGGCCTCCCAAAGTGCTGGGATTACAGGCATGAGCCACTGTGCCCGGCCTAACTGAATTCTTATTGTGTATCAAACACCATTATTTAACACTTCATGAGCATTAATCCTCATAGTAGGCTCGCACAGAGATTCACGCCTGCAATCCCAGCAATTTGGAAGGCCAAGGCAGTCAGATCACTTGAGGGCAAGAGTTTGAGACCAGCCTGGGCAACATAGGGAGACCATGTCTCTACCAAAAAAACAATCCTCATAATAAACTAATGAGGCAGGAACTATTATTATCTTCATTTTGCAAATTAGGAATCTGAGACTTAGAGAGTTTAATTTGCCTAAAAACACAGCTAGTTAGTGGCAAAGCCAGGCTTTGAACACAATCTCTGAGACCCAGGAGCCAAGACTCAACCACCACACCATATCACCTCCATCTTGTACACCTTAAACAATTCCCTTCCATTCAAAAATTGAGACCGAAAGGATACAAGGTAGTCACAGGAGGACAGAAAACTCCAGGGAGCAGTTTCACTTGACTAGCAAAAGGAAAATGTAAATAGCTGTCTAAGAGGGATTGAAAACCAGGATGTGGGCCACACTAGCTAAGACCAACTGGATCCAACATGGCACTGGATTTAACCCAGGTTCCTCCTAGGACCTCATTATACACTTACTAACATATTAAATCATACACCCCAGCACTATGACAGTTCCTGGAACAACAGAATTTGGTGTAAAAATGGCTGGAACCACCTGACCAACATGGCGAAACCCCATCTCTACTAAAAATACAAAAATTAGCCGGGCATGGTGGTGGGTGCCTGTAATCTCAACTACTCGGAGCCTGAGGCGGGATAATCGCTTGAACCCAGGAGGCGGAGTTTGTGGTGAGCCAAGATTGTGCCATTGCACTCCAGCCTAGGTGATAGAGTGAGACTCAGTCTCAAAAAAAAAAAAAAAAAAAGCCTGGCACCACAGTTCCAAGAAATCCTCCCCTTATTTTTTATTTATTTATTTAAGAGACAGGGTTTCTCCATGTTGGTCAAGCTGGTTACGAACTCCCAACCTCAGGTGATCCACCCACCTCGGCCTCCCAAAGTACTGGGATTACAGGCGTGAGCCACTCCACCCGTCAAAATCTTCCCTTTTTTCCAGGAATCTTCATAAGTACTCCCTCCCTCAGTTAAAGAAACGCATAAAAACAGAAACTCCAGGCTGGGCATGGTGGCTCACACCTGTAATCCCAGCACTTTGGGAGGCTGAGGTAGGTGGATCACCTGAGGTCAGGAGTTCAAGACTAGCTTGAGCCACCGCGCCCGGCCAATAACGATTTTTAAAAAACCCAAAAGTGGCTGGGCGCAGAGGCTCACACCTGTAATCCCAGCACTTTGGGAGGCCGAGGCGGGCGGATCACGAGGTCAAGAGATCGAGCCCAACCTGACCAACATGGGGAAACCCCGTCTCTACTAAAATACAAAAAATAGCTCGGTGTGGTGGCGCATGCCTGTAGTCCCAGCTACTCGGGAGGCTGAGGCAGGAGAATTGCTTGAACCCGGGAGGCAGAGATTGTAGTGAGCCGAGATTGCACCACTGCAGTCCAGCCTGCGACTGGCGACAGAGCAAGACTCTGTATCAAACAAACAAAACGCAAAAGTGGAAAACTGAGGGGGCAGGGGAAGAGACACCTCGGCCAGGGGCAAGAGGAGCGCTGCTCATGGCACCAGGCCTGGCCACGGGGTCCCCCGGTATTGCTATTGCTACTGTTGCTGGGGGGTGGGGGCAGCAACTGTCCTGTGGGAGTCACCGTTCGCCTGGGTCAGGGACCCTCACTTCTTCTGGGGTGCGCTTAGCTTCTGCATGCCCCGGATCTTATCCAGCAGGCCAAAGATGAAGGCCTCTGTGGGTTTGTAACAGTCACCCTGCAGCTCCTTACCCTGGCAGCCCAGGCATCGTCACTCTCCTGTAGAGGAGCTCATTCACGTCAATCTCCAGTTCTAGGATTCTTTTCTTCCTGGCAGTCATAGAGGCGCGTGAGGATCCACTCCTTTATTAGCCTAGCTGCTACAGGATCCTGCTACAGAATCCAATCCTTTATTAGGCTCTTCCATAGCTCCTTGTAGTCAAACTTGACAGTGACCTTCCCTTGGTGCCTGCCTCACTGGGCCCTCATCATCTGCGCGGCTCTGCGGCGAGAGCAGCGTCACGGGCGCCCGCGAGCCACTGTAGGATGTGGGGGCGGGGAGCGGGGGCGGGCCGCGAGCCTCCCGGGGTCTGGCCTGGCAGCGCCCCTCCCTCTTCCCCGCTGATCCGCCTGCCCTTCGTCCCCTGCCTGTCTTTCTTGAGTAGGCCTGCACTCCCCTTTGTTGTTTTTTTTTTGTTTGGTTGGTTTTCTTTTTTTTTTTTTTTTGAGACGGAGTTTCGCTCCTGTTACCCAGGCTGGAGTGCAATGGCGCGATCTTGGCTCACCGCAACCTCCGCCTCCTGGGTTCAGGCAATTCTCCTGCCTCAGCCTCCTCAGTAGCTGGGATTATAGGCACGCGCCACCGTGCCCAGCTAATTTTTTGTATTTTTAGTACAGATGGGGTTTCACCATGTTGATCAGGTTGGTCTCGATCTCCCGACCTTGTGATCCACCCACCTCGGCCTCCCAAAGTGCTGGGATTACAGGCTTGAGCCACCGCGCCCGGCCTTGTTTTGTTTTCTTTGTAATAAATCCACTTTCATTATTTTCTGATTTGTCCTTGAATTCCTTCTGCAATGGTGTCAAGAGCCTTGACACCTGCGGGGTTGAGGCCCCTCTGGTGTTCGGTGACCTCTTCTAACCCACTGGTATCAAAATCTTGCTCAAAGACTATCATTTTCATAAAATCCTGTTAATGTAGATTCACTAAACATTCCACATTAGGGCAAGAGCCAACTCATTTCTTTTCTTTTCTTTTTTGAGACAGGGTCTTGCTCTGTCACCCAGGCTGGAGTACAGTGGGACGATCATGGCTCACTGCAGCCTCAACCTCCCCAGGTTCAGGTGATCTTCCCACTTCAGCCTTGCAAGTGGCTGGGACTACAGGTGCACGCCACAATGCCTGACTAATTTTGCTATTTTTTTTAGAGATGAGGTTTCACCATGTTGCCCAGACTGGGCTCAAGCAGTCTGTCCACCTTGTCTTCCCAAAGTGCTACAATTACAGGCATAAACCACTGTGCCCAGCTAACTCATTTCTGTATAGATGTTAATACATATCTGTATCATGTTTGCTTTTTATTTAAATAGGAGGCTTTTCTTCCACGCCTACCTTCCACCCACTCTCCAAGTATTTTTTTCATGTTTCTGTTCTCTCCAAAACTACATAAAATTAATTCCTCCTAAGCCGGGCGCGGTGGCTCAAGCCTGTAATCCCAGCACTTTGGGAGGCTGAGGCGGGTGGATCACGAGGTCAAGAGATCGAGACCATCCTGGTCAACATGGTGAAACCCCGTCTCTATTAAAAATACAAAAAATTAGCTGGGCATGGTGGCGCGTGCCTGTAATCCCAGCTACTCAGGAGGCTGAGGCGGGAGAATTGCCTGAACCCAGGAGGCAGAGGTTGCGGTGAGCCGAGATCGCGCCATTGCACTCCAGCCTGGGTAACAGGAGCGAAACTCCGTCTCAAAAAAAAAAAAAAAAAAAAAAAAAAAAAAATTAATTCCTCCTACCCTTCCTCTTCTTTACCCAGAAAACTCCTATTACTCTCGAAGGTCCCCTTAAAATACCCGCCTTTGTGATGCATTCCCAGTTTCCTCTAGGCAGCATTCCAGTCCTACAGTCTATATGCCATCCCTTCAAACACTTCTTACTCCACTCAAGCACTTTAACACATTGTGAATATATAGCCATTGAGAAATGTGTTGTTAGGTAATTCATCCTTGTGAAAACCTCAAGGAGTATACTTAAATAAGCCTGGATAGTATAGCCTACTCTACACCTAGGTTCTTTGGCTATTACTCCTACGCTATGAACCTATACATGTTACCCTACCGGAGACTATAGACAACACAATGAGAAGTATTTATGTGGCTAAATATATCTAAACAGAAAAGGTATAATAGGCCAGGCACTGTGGCTCACACCTGTAATCCCAGCATTTTGGGAGGCCACAGCAGGAGGATCACTTGAGCCCAGGAGTTCAAGACTGGCTTGGGTAACAAGGAAAGACACTAGAAAAAATTTAAAAATTTGGCCGGGTGTGGTGGCTCACGCCTGTAATCCCTGCACTTTGGGAGGCGGAGGCAGGAGGATCACCTGAACTCAGGAGTTTGAGACTAGCTTAGCCAACATGATGAAACCCTGTCTCCACTAAAAATACAAAAATTAGCTGGGCACAGTGATAGGTGCCTGTAATCCTGGCTACTCAGGGAGGCTGAGGCAGAAAAATCAGTTAAACCCAGGAGGTTGCAGTGAACTGAGATCACACCACTGCATTCCAGCCTGGGCAACAGAGCGAGACTCTGTCTAAAAATAAAATTAAAAATAGGCCAGGCGCGGTGGCTCACGCCTGTAATCCCAGCACTCTGGGAGACGAAGGCAGGCGGATCATGAGGTCAGGAGTTCAAGACCAGCCTGGCCAACATGGTGAAACCCCATCTCTACTAAAAATTCAAAAGTTAGCTGGGCGTGGTGATGGGTGCCTGCAATGCCAGCTACTCAGGAGACTGAGGCAGAAGAATTACTTGAACCTGAGAGGCAGAGGTTGCAGTTAGCCAAGATTGCACCACTGCACTCCAGGCTGGGTGACAGAGCAAGACTCCGTCTCAAAATAAAAATAAAAATCTCTGGCCGGGCGCGGTGGCTCAAGCCTGTAATCCCAGCATTTTGGGAGGCCGAGGCGGGTGGATCACGAGGTCAAGAGATCGAGACCATCCTGGTCAACATGGTGAAACCCCGTCTCTACTAAAGATACAAAAAAATTAGCTGGGCATGGTGGCACGTGCCTGTAATCCCAGCTACTCAGGAGGCTGAGGCAGGAGAATTGCCTGAACCCAGGAGGCGGAGGTTGCAGTGAGCCGAGATCGCGCCATTGCACTCCAGCCTGGGTAACAAGAGCGAAACTCCATCTCAAAAAAATAAATAAATAAATAAAAATAAATAAATAAATAAAAATAAAAATCTCTAAAATAATAATTTTTTAGCCGGGCGTGGTGGCTCACGCCTGTAATCCCAGCACTTTGGGAGGCCGAGGCAGGTGGATCACGAGGTCAAGAGATGGAGACCATCCTGGTCAACATGGTGAAACCCCGTGTCTACTAAAAATACAAAAAATTAGCTGGGCATGATGGCACGTGCCTGTAATCCCAGCTACTCAGGAGGCTGAGGCAGGAGAATTGCCTGAACCCAGGAGGCGGAGGTTGCAGTGAGCTGAGATTGCGCCATTGCACTCCAGCCTGGGTAACAAGAGCGAAACTCCGTCTCAAAAAAAAAAAAAAAAAAAAAAAAAAGAACAGAAAATATCAGAGAATGTCACAGGCACTAAGATAGGTATTGTGCAACTTTTTTTTTTTGGAGACGGAGTTTTGCTCGTTACCCAGGCTGGAGTGCAATGGCGCGATCTCGGCTCACCGCAACCTCCGCCTCCTGGGTTCAGGCAATTCTCCTGCCTCAGCCTCCTGAGTAGCTGGGATTATAGGCACATGCCACCATGCTCAGCTAATTTTTTTGTATTTTTAGTAGAGACGGGGTTTCACCATGTTGACCAGGATGGTCTCGATCTCTCGACCTCGTGATCCACCTGCCTCGGCCTCCCAAAGTGCTGGGATTACAGGCTTGAGCCACCGCGCCCGGCCGGTATTGTGCAACTTTAAGAGTGTGTGTGTGTGTGTGTGTGTGTTTGTGTGTGTGTGTACGTGTATACTGGGTGGCTGTAAAATATATTTCTTGGCTGGACATGATGGCTCTCACCTATAATCTCAGCACTTTGGGAGGCCAAGGCAGAAGGATCACTTGAGCCCAGGAGTTTAAAACTAGCCAAGGCAGGCCGGGCGCGGTGGCTCAAGCCTGTAATCCCAGCATTTTGGGAGGCCGAGGCGGGTGGATCACGAGGTCAAAAGATCGAGACCATCCTGGTCAACATGGTGAAACCCCGTCTCTACTAATGGTGCAAAAAATTAGCTGAGCATGGTGGCGCGTGCCTGTAATCCCAGCTACTCCGGAGGCTGAGGCAGGAGAATTGCCTGAACCCAGGAGGCGGAGGTTGCGGTGAGCCGAGATCGCGCCATTGCACTCCAGCCTGGGTAACAAGAGCGAAACTCCGTCTCAAAAAAAAAAAAAAAAAACTAGCCAAGGCAACATAGTGAGATCCCATCGCTACAAAAAATAAAAAATTAGGCCAGGACTAGTCAACACTTTGGGAGGCTGAGGTAGGCTGATCACTTGCCCTTAGGAGTTTGAGACCAACTGGGCAACATGGCAAGACCTCATCTCTAAAAAATAATACAATTAGCTGGGCACAGTGGTACATACCTATAGCTCCAGCTACTGGGAGGCTGAGGCAGGATAATCACTTGAGCCTGGGAAGCAGAGGCTGCAATTAGCTGAGATCACACCACTGCACTCCAGCCTGGGCAACGGGAGTGAAATCCTATTTCAAAAAATAGATAGCGGGGAAAATGGTGGCGTTCGCAGGTTGGAGTCTGCCAGTGCAGTACCGGGATGGTCACACTGACTCGCACCTGCACACATGCCAGCACTGCTTGCTCTTTGATGTGTCTCATATGCTGCAGACCAAGATATGTGGTAGTGACCAGGTGAAGCTGATGGAGAGTCTAGTGGTTGGAGACATTGCAGAGCTAAGACCAAACCAGGGGACACTGTCGCTGTTTACCAACGAGGCTGGAGGCATCTTAGATGACTTGATTTTAACCAGTACTTCTGAGGGGCACCTGTATGTGGTATCCAGTGCTGGCTGCTGGGAGAAAGATTTGGCCCTCATGCAGGACAAGGTCAGGGAGCTTCAGAACCAGGGCAGAGATGTGGGCCTGGAGGTGCTAGATAATGCCCTGCTAGCCCTACAAGGCCCCACTGCAGCCCAGGTGCTACAGACCGGCATGGCAGATGACCTAAGGAAACTGCCCTTCATGACCAATGCTGTGACGGAGGTGTTTGGTGTGTCTGGCTGCCGTGTGACCCGCTGTGGCTACACAGGAGAGGACGGTGTGGAGATAGTGCCATCAGCGGGAGCAGTTCAGCTGGCAACAGCTCTTCTGGAAAACCCAGAGGTGAAGCTGGCAGGGTTGGCCGCCAGGGATAGCCTGCACCTGGAGGCAGGCCTCTGCCTGTATGGGAATGACATTGGTGAACACACTATACCTGTGGAGGGCAGCCTCAGTTGGACACTGGGGAAGCGCCACCAAGTTGCTATGGATTTCCCTGGAGCCAAGGTCATTGTTCCCCAGCTGAAGGGCAAGGTATAATGGAGGCGTGTGGGCTTGATGTGTGAGGGGGCCCCGATGCGGGCACATAGTGCCATCCTGAACATGGAGGGTACCATCATTGGTACTGTGACTAGTGGCTGCCCCTCACCCTCTCTGAAGAAGAATGTAGCGATGGGTTACGTGCCCTGTGAGTACAGTCGTCCAGGGACAAAGCTGACGGTAGAGGTGCGGCGAAAGCAGCAGATGTCTGTGGTCAGCAAGATGCCCTTTGTGCCCACGAACTACTATACCCCTGAAAAGGGGGAACCAAACCAAGAAGCTTTGGTTCCTGACTCAGGGTGGGGCTGTCCCCTCCAGGAATCTACAAGGGGTTAGTCAAGAAGCTGAGGCAGAACTCACTAGGGTTGGGCAGCTAAAGTGGAGGCTGATTCTAATTGTCTGGTTGAGGGGCCATACCACCTATTCTTCCCACCTAACTCATGCCACTCCAGCTTCCTTCAGGACCTTGCTTCTGAGTGAAGGACCAGCTCACACAATGTCTTGTTTTAGTCCATGATCCCACTGACCTACTCTTACCTGCTGGAGGGTAATAAGAAGCTTTTTTTTTTTTTTTTTTTTTTTTTTTTAGACGGAGTTTTGCTCTTGTTACCCAGGCTGGAGTGCAATGGTGCAATCTCGGCTCACCACAACCTCCGCCTCCTGGGTTCAGCCAATTCTCCTGCCTCAGCCTCCTGAGTAGCTGGGATTACAGGCACGTGCCACCATGCCCAGCTAATTTTTTTGTATTTTTAGTAGAGATGGAGTTTGACCATGTTGACCAGGACGGTCTCGATCTCTCGACCTCATGATCCACCCGCCTCGGCCTCCCAAAGTGCTGGGATTACAGGCTTGAGCCACCGCGCCCGGCCAGTAGGAAGCTTTGATTCTGCCATCTCCCCCACCCTGCCAGGTGCTGGCTATGGAGCAAAGGCTCACCTCTGTGGGGAGGATAAAACCTTCCCAACCTACCTCACCATGGTTTTTCACATTGCAAAGGGTAGTAACACGGGCAGTGTGGACTTAGGCTACCCTCTCCAGTTTGCTTTCCATAAATGCAAATAGTCCCTACTGCCAGTCAGAAATAATTGCTGACTCATAGTAGGGCTGCTATGCCTGTGTGTAAACTTAGGGATGGCTGAGGGAACACTGATTTACTCTTCCACATTTCCAAGTTGGTCTAGTGTGCTGCCCAGTAGCAAACCATGGCAGGCTTACCACCTGTTCTGAGCTCCAGGGTTGTTGTAGGGCAGGGTGAGCTTCCTCCTGGACTTGCCTTACCCTAGGCTGACCTTTGCCCCAGTATCCATTAATGGACTCCACTGAATCCTGAAAGAAAAATTAAACTTCCTTCTGCACCAGCATGGATGAGAAAAAAAAAAAGAAAGAAAAATTAAACTTCAAAAATATATAGATAGATAGATAGCTTTCAGCATTCGGCTTGGAGGAGGCCAAGGTGCAATTTTCTTCAGTCGTCTCAAATCCAGGTTCATCCAACAGCAGCCGCCTCCACCATGCCACCGAAGGTTGACCCCAACAAGATCAAAGTCATATACCTGAGGTGCACCGGGGGTGAAGTAGGTGCCACTTCTGCGCTGGCCCCCTCGGTCTGTCTCCAAAAAAGTTTGGTGACGACACTGCCAAAGCAATGAGTGACTGGAAGGGCCTGAGGATTACAGTGAAACTTACCATTCAGAACAGACAGGCCCAGATTGAGTGGTGCCTTCTGCCTCCGCCCTGATCCTCAAAGCCCTCAAGGAACCACCAAGTAACAGAAAGAAACAGAAGAACACCAAGAAACAGAAAGAAACAGAAAAACATTAAACATAGTGGGAATATCACTTTTGATGATATTGTCAACATTGCTCAGCAGATGCGGCACTGATCTTTACCCACAGAACTCTCTGGAACCATTAAAGGGATCCTGGGGACTGCCCAGTCTGTGGACTGTAATACTGATGGCCACCACCCTCATGACATCATAGATGACATCAACAGTGGTGCTGTGGGATGCCCAGCTAGTTAAGAAGCACAAAGGAAGATATTTCAATAAAGGATCATTTAACAACTGGTAAAAAATAAAATAAATAAAAAAATTAGGGACGGTGGTTCGAGACTGTAATCCCAGCTATTCAGGAGGCTGAGGCAGAAGAATTCCTTGAATCCAGGAGGTAGAGGTTGCAGTGAGCCGAAATCATGCCACTGCACTCCAGCCTGGGTGACAGAGCAAGACTTCATCTTAAAAAAAAAAAAAAAAAAATCAGCCAGGAATGGTAGCCTGCTCCTGTACTTACAGCTAATCTGGAAGCTGAGGCAGGAGGACCCCTTCAGCTCAGGTGTTTGAGGCTGCAGTGAGCTGTGACTGCATATTTGACTCCAGCCTGGGTGACAGGGTGAGACCTCATCTCTTTAAAAAAACAAACAAAAATTAGCCAGGCTCCGTGGCTCATACCTGTAATCCCAGCACTTTGGGAAGCTGAGGCAGGAGGATCCCTTGAGCCCAGGAGTTCAAGGTTGCAGTGAGCTATGATCACATCACTGCACTCCAGCCTGGGTGACAGAGTAGGACTGTGTCTCAAAAGAAAAAAAGAGTTACCGTAATAATATATGCCCTGTCTCACATAATTGTGTTAAAATTAAGTGATATGTAAATGCAAGATTATTTTACAAACCATAAAAATGTTCATAAACTATAAAAATGTTCACCTGTATATAACATTAAGTAAACAAGGCCAGGCGTGGCGGCTCATGCCTGTAATCACAGCACTTTGGGAGGCCGAGGCGGGCAGATCACAAGGTCAAGAGATGGAGACCATCCTGGCCAACATGGTGAAACCCTGTCTCTATTAAAGTACGAAAATTAGCTGGGCATGGTGGTGCATACCTGTAGTCCCAGCTACTTGGGAGGCTGAGGCAGAAGAATTGCTTGAACCTGGGAGGTGGAGGTTGCAGTGAGCCGAGATCACGCCACTGCACTCCAGCCTGGCGACAGAGCGAGCCTCTGTCTCAAAAAAAAAAAAAAAAATTAAGTAAACAAGTGCAATTTGGTGTAGTCAAAATTATACAGCCAAATGTGCATTAGGTATGATTTTGTTTTGTTGTGTTTTGTGATTGTCAGTAACAGAAACCCAGTTCAAACTGGTTGTGCCCAAAAGTAGCTGAATAACTCTCATAAACTGGGAAATCCAACAATAAAGCTCACTGTAGGCCAGACTGAAGCTGGGGATCCAGATATCACCAAACCACTGTCCACCTGTCCCTTTCCTTGCCTTCCTCCCTCCCTCCCTCACTTAATCCCTCCCTCACTCACTCACTTCATCCCTCCCTTCCTTCCTTCCTTCTTTCTCCTTTTTTTGTAATACGGACAGGGTCTCATTTTGTTGCCCAGGGTGGTCTCAGATTTCTGGCTTCAAGCAATCCTCCCGCCTCAACCTCCCAAAATGCTGGGATTACAGGCTAGGGCCACTGTGCCAAGCCCTGACTCTTTCTGCTTCTCACTCTCTAGTCTCTGCTTTAGAATCAGTGTGGTTTTGTTCTCAGGCAGGTTTCCCTTCATGATTGAAGAATGATCACCATCTGCACTGGGCTGACTTGATCCTTTTTCCTGTAGTTTCAGCAAAAGTCCCAGGGAGACTTACTCGGGAGGCTGAGGTGGGAGAAACACATGAGCCCAGGAGGCAGAAGTTGAGTAACATTGTGCCACTGCACTCCAGCCAGGGCAACAGATCAAAACTCTGTCTCAAAAAAAAAAAAAAAAAAAAAAAAAAAAAAAAAAAAAACCTGAGTGGTGCTCTAGTTTAGACTCCAGAAAGTCTTTCCAGGCTAACAGGGAAAGCTCTGCCTGCTACCTAGCTTGGGTCATGAGCCAGTCCTAAACCAAAAACAGTGGCCATGGAATGCCTGGACACAAGATGATCCTTGGAGGCAGAGGGTGGGGTCAGCCCTGCTTGAGTCACCTGGACTGAAAAAGAGGTTGGTGGGGGAGTCTTTTCAGAGTAGAATGAGAGATTCAGAATAACTGTGCTTTTTTTTTTTTTTTTTTGAGACAGAGTCTCGCTCTGTCGCCCAGGCTGGAGTGCAGTGGCACGGCTGAGGCTCACTGCAACCTCCACCTCCCAGGTTCAAGCGATTCTTCTGCCTCAGTCTCCCAAGTAGCTGGGATTACAGGTACCCACCATCATGCCTGGCTAATTTTTGTATTTTTTAAGTAGAGACAAGGTTTCGACACGTTGGCCAGGCTGGTCTCAAACTCCTGACTTTAGGTGATCTGAAGCTGGGATTACAGGCGTGAGCCACTCTGCCAGGCCTATGACTGCACTTTTTTTTTTTTTGAGACGGAGTTTCGCTCTTGTTACCCAGGCTGGAGTGCAATGGCGCGATCTCGGCTCACCGCAACCTCCGCCTCCTGGGTTCAGGCAATTCTCCTGCCTCAGCCTCCTGAGTAGCTGGGATTATAGGCACGTGCCACCGTGCCCAGCTAATTTTTTGTATTTTTAGTAGAGGCGGGGTTTCACCATGTTGACCAGGTTGGTCTCGATCTCTCGACCTTGTGATCCACCCGCCTCGGCCTCCCAAAGTGCTGGGATTACAGGCTTGAGCCACCGCGCCCGGCCTATGACTGCACTTCTAATGCTGAATAGGGTTAGTCTGGAAAGACTTCTTGGAGTCTGGGACACTACTTATCTTGCTGTTAGTCTCTTCTGTTTAATTTTCTCATATACCAACCAATGTGGTAAGGATACACAACACATATGTTCATTTAATTTAGTTTCATTCATTTAACAAATGCACTATTTGTATAGGATCTACTATGTTCCAGGCACTGATTCTGGGCAGTGGGATATAGCAATTATAAAGACATAAAAAGTTTCTGTTCTCTGAAAACCTATATTCTGTGGGGCAGACAGATAATAACCAGTCAATAAGTATACATCAATAAGTACACATCATTAAATTTTATTCAAAAATAGGCCAGGAGCGGTGGTTCATGCCTGTAATGCCAGCACTTTAGGAGGCCGAGGCGAGCAGATCACGAGGTCAAGAGATCGAGACCATCCTGGCAAACATAGTGAAACCCCATCTCTACTAAAATATAAAAATTAGCTGGGTATGGTGGCGCACATCTCTAGTCCCAGCTACTTGGGAGGCTGAGGCAAGAGAATTGCTTGAACCTGGGAGGCAGAGGTTGCAGTGAGCCGAGATCGCACCACTACACTCCAGCCTGGCGACAAAGTGAGACTCTGTCTCGAAAAAAAAAAATTATTCAAAAATAAATTTTAAAAGCAGGAAATGGAGCAGCAAGAGCTATAGATGGGAGATAGGACTATTTCAGAAGGGATGGTTAAAGACCTTGTTCAGTGACTTTCACTTTTTATTTTTATTTTATTTATTTTTTTATTTATTTTTATTTTTATTTATTTATTTATTTATTTATTTTTGAGATGGAGTTTCGCTCTTGTTACCCAGGCTGGAGTGCAATGGCGCGATCTCGGCTCACCGCAACCTCCGCCTCCCGGGTTCAGGCAATTCTCCTGCCTCTGCCTCCTGAGTAGCTGGGATTACAGGCACGCGCCACCATGCCCAGCTAATTTTTTGTATTTTTAGTAGAGACGGGGTTTCACCATGTTGACCAGGATGGTCTCGATCTCTTGACCTCGTGATCCACCCGCCTCGGCCTCCCAAAGTGCTGGGATTACAGGCTTGAGCCACCGCGCCCGGCTATTTTTATTTTTTTTTGAGACGGAGTTTCGCTCCTGTTACCCAGGCTGGAGTGCAATGGCGCGATCTCGGCTCACCGCAACCTCCGCCTCCTGGGTTCAGGCAATTCTCCTTCCTCAGCCTCCTGAGTAGCTGGGATTACAGGCACGCACCACCACGCCCAGCTAATTTTTTGTATTTTTAGTAGAGACGGGATTTCACCATGTTGACCAGGATGGTCTCGATCTCTCGACCTCGTGATCCACCTGTCTCGGCCTCCCAAAGTGCTGGGATTACAGGCTTGAGCCACCGCGCCCGGTCCGCTTTTTTTTTTTTTTTTTTTTAAGACAGAGTTTCGCTCTTGTTGCCCTGACTGGAATGCAATGGCCCAATTTTGGCTCACCACAACCTCTGCCTCCCAGATTCAAGTGATTCCCCTGCCTCAGCATCCTGAGTAGCTGGGATTACAGGTATGTGCCAACATGCCTGGCTAATTTTGTATTTTTAGTAGAGACGGGCTTTCTCCATGTTGGTCAGGTTGGTATTGAACACCCGACCTCAGGTGATCTGCCCACCTCGGCCTCCCAAAGTGCTGGGTTACAGGCATGAGCTACTGCACCCAGTCCATGTACAATTCTTAAGGCATATGTATAAAACATGTTAAACTTTTTTCTACATTGAAACAATGTTTATGACAGTAATATCAAACTGCAAAATCCTTGAGGTCTTTCTAATATTGATTCAGCTAGGTACAACACTTAGGAGTCTTGCTGAATGTGCAAATATATTTAAATCGAGAACACTCTGAGGCAAGGGCTTCCTTTCTTCTATAGAAATTGAACACAGAGGAAGCTCAGTAAAAGGTGCTAGTGGAACAATGAGCCACGTACCACAGTGAATACCAATACTGATGAGAGGGCTCCCAGGTGACCCTGCCAAACCTGGGTGGGGACAATTTTCCTCAAAGAGCTTCCTTAACTCTGTCCTTTTGCTCTAATTGCTGTGGACGTGCCAGGCAGCACAAAGTGGCTCCTGAGGGTGGTTCTTGCTGATGCTGGGTAAAGGTCCACTTATTGAGAGCCAAGTACTAACACAAAGTAAAAACTCCTCTGATTTCAAGCCTTAGCAAGGCTGATGTTGCTTGGAGGAGAAAAAGCTTGGAGTCGGGCACATGTGTGGAGGATGGAAGAGGGTGAGAGAAGTCAGAAAAGGCCCACCCTCCCTGATTAATGACAGTTTCCCTGAACTTGGAACCCCTACAACCAATAATACTAGGCACTGCTCGTCACCCAGTGATGTCTTTATCCTTGAATTGCACTGACTTTGATGTGTTTGATGTCAATTCTTTACTATCTACAGTAGTTCTAGATTGCTCTACCTTTTTTATTATTATATGGTTTGTCCTTTACTTATCTGTATTATTAGTTTACATTGAGTATAAATTCTTTGACTGTATTTGTCTATAGACAAATATAATGCATTCTAAATTTAGTTCAGGTTCTACCTTAATTGCCCATTGTAAGCAATAACTGATAAAACTTTTTTGATTTTTTTTTTTTTTTTGAAACAGGTTCTCACTCTGTCACCCAGGACAGAGTGCAGCGCTATGATCCTGGCTCACTGCAACCTCCACCTCCCGGGTTCAAGCGATTCTCCTGCCTCAGCCTCCTAAGTAGCTGAGATTATAGGTGCATGCCACCATGCCCAGCTGATTTTTGTATTTTTAGTAGAGATGGGGGTTTCACCATGTTGGCCAGGCTGGTCTTGAACTCCTGACCTCAGGTGATCTGCCCAACTTGGCCTCCCAAAGGGTTGGGATTACAGGCGTGAGCCACTGCACCCAGCCTGAAAAAAGCTTTTTTTTTTTTTTTTAAAGAGATGGAATTTCACCATGATGGCCAGGCTGGTCTTGAACTCCTGACCTCAGGTAATCCACCCACCTCAGCCTCCCAAAGTACTAGGATTACAGGCATGAGCCACCGCACCCGGCCCTGGAGAAAAAAAATTTGATGATGTTTTTTGATGACTGCAATTACAAAAATCAAAGGCTAATTCTTGGCTGTGCACAGTAGCTCACACCTGTAATCCCAACACTTTGGAAGCTGAGGAAGACAGATTCCTTGAGTCCCAGAGTTTGAGACCAGCCTGGGCAACGTGGCGAAACCCCATCTCGTAAAAATACAAAACTTAGCTGGGCATGGTGGTGCACGCCTGTACTCTGCCTCTCAAAATAAAAAAAAAAAGCTACTTCTTGTAAGTTTATAATACATCTCCTCCTCTGGAGATACTAATCTCTTCAAGTCATCTCCCACAAATTGGTTACAGGTGGACTCTTGTGAAACCTTTCAGTTTGATGGTCAGGAGACCTGGGTTCTAACCCTAGATTCACAAACAACTTACGTGTAACTCTGCTTCAGTTTCACAATCTTCTGGAAAAAGGAGGGGGAAAAAAGCACATAGCATTCTCTTTACCTCTTCTTTCCCACTTGCTGCTGCTGCTGCTGCTGCTGCTTCTTTCTTCTTCTTCTTCTTCTTCTTCTTCTTCTTCTTCTTCTTCTTCTTCTTCTTCTTCTTCTTCTTCTTCTTCCTCTTCTTTTAATATCCCACTTGCTTCTTTAAAGGCCTTCAAAGAGCTACTCTTCTAAGCCTGGAGCCTTGTATATTACTGTTCTCTCCTTTTCAAGAAAAAGACTGAGGGAGGAGATGAGAAACATAGAGTCCCAAAGATGGTGAAGAATCACATAGTGAGGCCCTGCAGTCTCAGGAGACAGAAAAGGAATAGGCAAAAAATAAACCCTAGTGCAATTAAAGACCTAAAGTTGTAAAAACAAAACACCAACCAAGTTCAAAATTATCTAGTGCTCACTTCGGCAGCACATACACTACAAGTAGAAAGATACAGAGATTAGCATGGCCCCTGTGCAAGGTTGACATGCAAATTCATGAAGCATTTCCATAATTAAAAAAATTTTTTTCTCCGGGTGCGGTGGCTCAAGCCTGTAATCCCAGCACTTTGGGAGGCCGAGGCGGGTGGATCACGAGGTCAAGAGATTGAGACCATCCTGGTCAACATGGTGAAACCCCGTCTCTACTAAAAATACAAAAATTAGCTGGGCATGGTGGCGCGTGCCTGTAATCCCAGCTACTCAGGAGGCTGAGGCAGGAGAATTGCCTGAACCCGGGAGGCGGAGGTTGCGGTGAGCCGAGATTGCGCCATTGCACTCCAGCCTGGGTAACAAGAGCAAAACTCCGTCAAAAAAAAAAAGAAAAAGAAAAAGAAAAAAGAAAAAATCTCCCATCCAGAAAACTTTTTTTTGAGACAAAGTCTCACTCTGTCACCCAGGCTGGGGTGCAGTGGCCTAATCACAGCTCACTGCAGCTCCTGGGCTCAGGTGATCCTCTCACCTCAGCCTCTGAAGTACCTGGGACTACAGGCACATGCCACCACACCTGGCTCATTTTTTCCCTTTTTTTTTTTTTTGTAGAGACAGGGTTTCACCATGTTGCCCAGGCTGGTGAAAAGCATTTTAAACAGCATTAAAATACAAGTGACAGAAAGGGGGATAAAAAGATTATTGTAACATGTATATCTAAAAAAGACGGATCTCTAGTATCTGACAAGGACTATTACAAACCAACAAGAAGCAGGAGATTAACAAGCCAACAGAAAAATGGATTAGACTAGGTGTGACTAAATATTCCCAAAAGAAATTCAAATGATCTATAATAGATAATAATATCTACTCCACTTTTCTAGTAATCTGGAAAATGCAAATTAAACAATGAGATTTGTTTCACATCTACAGGGCTATCAGTAATCTAAAATTCTGATCATTTTAAGTGTTGGTGAGGATGTGGAAAAACTAGGGCTCTGATATCCTGTAAAACTGATACAGCCACTTTGGAGAGCAACTTGATATTGTCTACTCAAGTTGAAAATGCACTTATTCTTTGATCTAGAAAGACTACTTTCAGATAAATGCCCTAAAGCACTGTTTTTCAATCCATTAGTGACTCATAAAATCAATGTAGTGAGTCGTGTCTAGTATTTTACAAAGATGAAATAGGACAGAGTGCAACAGAGTAGGAAATAGAGTGCTTATAGCAAGGGGAGGTATTATTTTGTTAAACTTTTATTTAATATATGAACTGGGCCTTCACAGAAGACATATTTCCATAGTGGTTTCAGAACAAACCTCTAAAAACATTGCTTAATAGAAACTCTCATGCATTAGCACTAGGAGACCTGTTGGAGGATATTCCCTGAAATGCAGTGTTTGGAATAATGAAACACTAAAAACAATGTAAAGGTTGATCAGTAGCAAACGGATAAGTAAACTGTGGTGTATTCACGTGATGGAACACCATTCAGCAAGCTAAATCAATGAAATTGCTGGGCATGGTGGCTCACGCCTGTAATCCCAGCACTTTGGGAGGCCAAGGCGGGCAGATCACCTCCGCCTCCTGGGTTCAGGCAATTCTCCTGCCTCTGCCTCCTGAGTAGCTGGGATTACAGGCACGTGCCACCATGCCCAGCTAATTTTTTGTATTTTTAGTAGAGACGGGGTTTCACCATGTTGACCAGGCTGGTCTCGATCTCTCGACCTCGTGATCCACCCGCCTCAGCCTCCCAAAGTGCTGGGATTACACGCTTGAGCCACCACGCCTGGCTACTAAAAATATTTTTAAAATTAGCCAGGCGTTGTGGCGACTGCCTGTAATCCCAGCTGCTTGGGAGGCTGAGGCAGGAGAATCACTTGAACCCTGGAGTTGGGAGGTTATAGTGAGCCGAGATCATGCCATTGCACTGCAGCCTGGGTGACAGAATGGGACTGTCTCTCATAAAAAAAATAATAATAAAGTAAAAAATTAAAATTAAAAAAATGAAAGCAGACTAATATAAAAGTGATGCCTAAAGGGAAGGAGAAAGGAGAAAGGAAGAATAATGGGAGTTGAAAGGTGAAAATAGGTATGATACTATTTATTCATTTTGGGTAGTGGATACATAAACGAATGTTATAGAATTTTTTGCTATTATCCTTTTAAAACTTTTTTTTTTTTTTTTTGAGACGGAGTTTCGCTCTTGTTACCCAGGCTGGAGTGCAATGGCGCGATCTCGGCTCACCACAACCTCTGCCTCCTGGGTTCAGACAATTCTCCTGCCTCAGCCTCCTGAGTAGCTGGGATTACAGGCACGTGCCACCATGCCCAGCTAATTTTTTTTTTGTATTTTTAGTAGAGACGGGGTTTCGCCATGTTGACCAGGATGGTCTCGATCTCTTAACCTTGTGATCCACCCGCCTCGGCCTCCCAAAGTGCTGGGATTACAGGCTTGAGCCACCGTGTCCGGCCTCATTTTCCTAATTTTCAAATTGTTGAGCTGTTTGCCATGATGGATGATCAGCAAGCTTTGAACTCAATCATGCAAGATTTGACTGTCCTTCATTAGGCCAGTCAACCAGCATTATCCTTGCAGGAAACCAGAAAAGCAAAATCTTCACCACCAAAAAAACAGAATGATGTCCGAATCAAATTTGAACATAGAGGAGAAAAAAGAATCCTTCAGTTCCCCAGACCAGTTAAACAGGAAAATCTGAGATCTAAAGCTAGACAGCCTATGGATTTACATTATACCAATAACGAGTTGGTAATTCCATTAACTACTCAAAATGACTTGGACAAAGCTGTGGAACTGATAGATCGTAGTATTCATATGAAGAGCCCCAGGATAGTACTTGTAATAAATGGAAGTACACAGGCTACTAATTTATAACCATTGCCATCACCAGAAGATTTGGACAATACAGTATCGGTAGCAGAGAGGAAAAACCGGCTTTCTATAATAATAGTGATAGAAGTTCTCCTCCCCCAGGATACATTCCAGATGAATTACACCCGGTTGTCCAGAATGGCTCATTCACTAGTATCAACAGTGAAGGAGAATTCATTCCAGAGAGCATGGACAAAATGCTGGCATCCATGATCTTTAAGCAGTCCTGAAAATTCTGGCTCAGGAAGTTGTCCATCACTTGATAGTCCTTTGGATGGAGAGAGCTATCAAAAATCACAAATGCCGCCGGGCGCGGTGGCTCACGCCTGTAATCCCAGCACTTTGGGAGGCCGAGGCGGGTGGATCACGAGGTCAAGAGATCGAGACCATCCTGGTCAACATGGTGAAACCCCGTCTCTACTAAAAAAATACTAAAAATTAGCTGGGCATGGTGGCGTGTGCCTGTAATCCCAGCTACTCAGGAGGCTGAGGCAGGAGAATTGCCTGAACCCAGGAGGCGGAGGTTGCGGTGAGCCGAGATCGCGCCATTGCACTCCAGCCTGGGCAACAAGAGCGAAACTCCGTCTCAAAAAAAAAAAAAAAAAAAAATCACGAATGCCTAGGGCACAGAGCTACCCAGATAATCATCAGGAATTTTCAGACTATGATAACCCTATCTTTGAGAAATTTGGAAAAGAAGGAACATATCCAAGAAGGTATCATGTTTCATGTCATTATGAAGAGTATAACGATGGTTGTAAAACTTTTCCAAGAGCTAGAAGGACCCAGGGGACCAGCTTCCCGTCTCCTGTGAGTTTCAGTCCTACTGATCACTCCTTAAGCACTAGCAGTGGAAGCAGTAACTCTACCCCAGAGTATGATGATAGTCGAATGAGGAGGAGGGGAAGTGACATAGACAATCCTACTCTGACCGTAATGTACATCAGCCCACCCAGCCGTTCACCTCACGCTCCAACCAACTGGAGATTGGGCAAACTGCTTGGCCAAGGAGCCTTTGGAAGGGTCTACCTCTGTTATGATGTTGATACAGGAAGAGAATTCGCTGCTAAGCAAGTTCAATTTGATCCTGATAGTCCTGAGACCAGCAAGGAAGTAAACGCACTTGAGTGTGAAATTCAGTGGCTGAAAAACTTGCTGCATGAGCAAATTGTTAAGTATTATGGCTGTTTGAGGGATCCCCAGGAAAAAACACTTTCCATATTTATGGAATATATACCTGGGGGTTCAATTAAGGACCAATTAAAAGCATATGGTGTTCTTACTGAGAATGTGACTAGGAAATACACCCGTCAGATTCTGGAGGGTGTCCATTATTTGCACAGTAATATGATTGTCCATAGAGATATCAAAGGCGCAGTATCCTGCGAGATTAAACAGGCAACGTCAAACTAGGAGATTTTTTGGGCCAGCAAATGGCTTCGGACCATCTGTCTCTCAGGGACAGGAATGAAGTCTGTCATGGGCACACCATACTGGATGAGCCCTGTAGTAATCAGTGGAGAATGTTAAGGAAGAAAAGCAGACATCGGCCAGGCGCGGTGGCTCACGCCTATAATCCCAGCACTCTGGGAGGCCGAGGCGGATGGATCACGAGGTCAAGAGATTGAGACCATCCTGGTCAACATGGTGAAACCCTGTTTCTACTAAAAATACAAAAATTAGCTGGGCATGGTGGCGCACGCCTGTAGTCCCAGCTTCTCGGGAGGCTGAGGCAGGAGAATTGCCTGAACCTAGGAGGCGGAGGTTGCAGTGAGCCGAGATTGTGCCATTGCACTCCAGCCTGGGTAACAAGAGCGAAACTCCGTCTCAAAAAAAAAAAAAAAAAAAGAAAAGCAGACATCTGGAGTGTTGCATGTACTGTGGTAGAAATGCTAACTGAAAAGCCTCCTTGGGCTGAATTTGAAGCAATGGCTGCTATCTTTAAAATCACCACTCAGCCAACAAACCCAAAGCTGCCACCTCATGTCTCAGACTATACTCGAGATTTCCTTAAACGGATTTTTGTAGAGGCCAAACTGAGACCTTCAGCTGATGGAACTCTTAAGGCACATGTTTGTGCATTATCACTAGCAGCCAGTAACCTCTCCTGTGCCTCTGCCTAGCTTCCATCTATTCATTCACCTTCTCTCTGACTGCACTTTTCTTTTTTATTAAAAAAAAAAAGAGAGATG